TCACTTATTGGAGTCCTTGTAAATCTTTTACATTAGAGGATGCTAGTTATGTAATTGGAGTAAAAGGCAAAAATATTAAGTCCTGTACTTTAAGACAATAGGAAATGAAAAACTGAGGGTTAAAGAAATGGCAACTGTGATAGTAGGTAGGAAGAAACTATTACATAATTTAAAAAAATAAAAGACTTTGCCAAAGGAAACATTGCCAAGGGGCATCTAATAGAGTTCACAGAAAAGGGATGGATGAGCCCTTTATGTTGGCTAGTAGTGAACAGTGGCTTGGGGAACCTATAGTGTCAGTAAGTTCTAGTTTGAGATGTTTGTACGGTCATCTGACAGTGGTGGTAAAATAAGGGCCTCAAAGATTTCAGCACATTTATTCCTAGGAACGTGAGCCTACAATTTGAAGCGTTAGATATTAACTAATGTAGAGAAGCCATTGAAAAGTTGCTTTTTATTTATTTTGAGATAGTTGCAACTTATGGAGAAGTTGCAAGAGCAATGCAAATGACTTTTTGTATCCCAAACTTTTGAAAGTAAATCTGACTGAATGCTTCTGTCATGCTGTAATATTTTATTATATATTTTCTATAAAAATTGGATGTTTGACTGGACTTGGTGACTCAGCCTGTAATCCCTGCACTTTGGAAGGCTGAGGCGAGTGGATTGTCTGAGCCTGTGACTTCGAGACCCGCCCGGGCAACTTGGCAAGACCTCGTCTCTACAATAAATCAAAAACTAGCTGGGCATGGTAGCACGTGCCTGTAGTTCCAGCTACTTGGAAGGCTGAGGCAGAAGCATTGCCAGGAGCCCAGTAGGTCGAGGTTGCGGTGGCCGGGAGCATGCCTCTGCACACCAGTCTGAGCAACAGAGTGAGACTCCAACTCAAAAAAAAACCAAAAAAAAGGATGTTCTACATAATCATAATATAAGAATCAAATTAGTATATTAACATTGATAGATTACTGCTATCTAATCAGGTTTCATCTGAATTCCTTATAATTTCCTTTAGAGCAGAGCTGTCGCCTTCAGAATGATGCATTCCTTTAGTTGTCATACCTCCTTAGCTTATTCAGTCTGGGACAGTTTGTTAGTCTTCGTTGGACTTCTGTAACTCTGACACTTCTGTAGATTACAGGCTATTTTGTAGTGTCACTTTACATTTGTCTTTTGTTTCCTTATGCTTATATTTGGGTTATACATCTTTGGTAGGAAGATCACAATGGTGATTACTGTGTTCTTCTCATTGCATCCTCTCAGGTGGTGTGTGATTTTGATTTGTCTCATTAAGAATGTGATCTTGGCCGGGCATGGTGGCTCAAGCCTGTAATCCCAGCACTTTGGGAGGCCAAGGCGAGAGGATTGCCTGAGCCGAGGGGTTCAACACCAGCCTGGGCAACTTGGCAAGACCTCATCTCTACAATATATCAAAAAATTAACTGGGTGTGGTAGCGCACACCTATAGTTCCAGCTACTTGGAAGACTGAGGCAGAAGGATTGCCTGAGCCCAACAGGTTGAGGCTGCGGTGGCCGTGAATGTGCCAAGCACTCCATCCTGGGTGAGACTCCGACTCAAAAAAAAAAAAATGATGATCACTTTGGTCCTTGAATAAGGTAGTGTCTAGCAAGTCTTCTTCAAGGTAAAGGTATTTTTCCCCCTTTAATTATGAAGTACTGTGTGGGGAGGTACTTTGAAACTAGACAAATAGCCTGTTTTCATCAGAATTTTAATTTTTCAGTTACTGTACCAGTATGGCCTAGTGTTTTCCTATTTTATTCAGTAGGTTGTAATCTTTTATCATCGCTATTTATTTTGATGGTCAGATTGTTCAAAGTTTGGCCAGTGTGTCCTCTTTCAAATTGGCTTCTGTAGTCTTTTGATCTGCCCTCATAATTGCCTAAACACTTCCTTACTTTCTGCTGTAACATGTTCCAGACTCATTTGTATTTTTCCTGTTCTCAGCCTTGGAGCCAGCTGTTTCTCCAAAGAGCCCTGGTTCCTTTTAGAGAAGAATGGTATTGGATTTGGGTGGCAAGTGTGTTAGTGCTATTGGAATGCCATTGCTTTTAGACTCTTTTAGCCAACTTTGTGAGTGATATACGTATACTTTTGTTTCTCTCTATAAAACACTTTACTCTTCTTCTATGTATTAGTAACTGTGAGTTCATACTGATATCTCCAATTCTAGTCTAGCGTCAAATATTTCATTCTAGCCTTCCATGAGGATATATTTATAACTCTCTAACAGTAAGAAACCTGGCATCCCAATTCCACAATATATTTACTCCCTTGCTCAGTCCTACCTTGCATATTAAGTAGTTTTAGAATTACGGTCAGCCCTCTGCATACATGGATTCAACCAACCTTGCACAGAAAATATTTTAAAAATAAAAATAAAAACTAACACTACAACAGTTAAAAGAAAGAATACAGTAGAACAACTATTTATATAGCTTTTATATTATATTAGATATTATGAACAATATTTAGATATTATGAACAATCTAGAGATATAAAGTATATGAGATGTATTAGATATTATGAACAATCTAGAGATGTAAAGTATATGAGAGGCTATCCTTAGGTTATATACAAACACAACGCCATTTTATATAAGGCACTTGAGTGTCAGTGATTTTGGAAGTCTATGAGGGGTAGGGGGTGTGAGTTCTGGAACCAGTCCCCCAAGGATACTGAGGAATGACTGTATTCCTAACATCACTGAAAAATAAATATACTAACACTAACCATACTAAATATTTCTTTACAGTAACTTAAAAAAATCTTGTTTGTGACCGAATATTTCAGCCACTGAGTTCAAGAACCACTTGGGTTAGTGTTTAGCCCCTACCATTCAAGTGTGATTATAGTATTCATTTGAAATATACTTAGGTTTATCCGTTTCTGCTGATATTCCATCTCTCTCTCTTTTTTTATCTGAGTATATAAAGCATCTAATTTAGTTTGGAGTCAGAACAACACAAAAGGCTGTACTCTTCTCATCTTTTCTGTCCTGTTTCCATTAGGTAAGTTTCATTAGTTTTATTAGTTTCTGATTTATCCTTCTTGGCATTCTTTGTGCATTAATGAAAAGATACATGTATGTATATTTTCTTATTTTTGCTTTTTTTTTTTTTTTTACACAAAATGTAGTGTACAATATATACTCTTTTGTATTTTGTTTTTTTACTTAAAAGTGTATCCCGAACATAGGGGCCTTCCTTGTTTCGGCTTATGGCTGCATAGTACTCTGTTGTACTTTCCTATGCTGGCTGTAGTTTATTCAGCCAGTCTCTTATGTATAAGCATGTAGATTGTTTCCACTTTTTTTGAAATTACAAACAGTCCTGTTATGAATAACCTTGTGCCTATGTATTTTCATATTACTGAATAAGTGTATCTTTAAGGAGAATTCCTAGTTGTGGAGTTGCTGGATCATAAGGTAAATTACACAGTTGGTTTTGTTAAATATTGTCAAATTCTCCTTTAGAAGGTTGCACACATTTGCTTTCCCACCAGAAATACACAAGAGTGCCGCTCCCTTGCTGCCTCATCAGCTTGAGTTTTGTTGTACTTCTGCGTATTTACCAGTAGGTTAGGTGAGAGAAGTGTGAAGCTTTAAGTTGCATCACTTTAATTGTAAGACTGAACATCTTTTCTGTTTTTTTTTTTTGAGTTGGAGTCTTACTCAGTCATCCAGACTAGAGTGCAGTGGCCGCTCCCAGCCACCGCAGCTTCGACCTGCTGGACTCCAGCCATCCTTCTGCCTCAGCCTTCCAAGTAGCCGGAATTACAGGCGTGCGCTACCACGCCCAGCTAATTTTTTTGATTTATTGTAGAGATGAG